TCTGCTGCTAGCTATGGGAGGCTGCAGGGAGGTGAGCTATGCAATGGTGGGGGGAGGCTGCCAGGCTCCATGGCTTTGTTTTTCACCTGGCAGTGGTTGCTGCTAGAACGCAGCTGTTGTTCTGCTGTACTTGGTCTCTACCCTGATTATTGGGTTCATTTGTATTACATGCTGATCGCTGAATCAGGAATGCTCAGGTCCACAGAGAGTGCACCTGCAGCCTGAATCTTCTCTCTGGAGACTCGCAGTGAGCTCTGGTTTGTGTCCGTGGCACCCACCTCTTCTCTTCTCCCTTTTGTCCTCCCCCACCGTTTGCCCAGATTTGCCAACCTTCAGATGTTTTGATGTGCATATCTCTCAGACATGTTTGAGTGTTGTGCATGGCGTCCTTTTTTTCAGTTATAGCTCTTTAACTTGTTTTAACTTCAGAGAGAGAGATCAGGGGCCCCCCTCACCCCACCATGCTTCTGACGTCACTCTGGTTTCGTTTATTTAGCATAATGTCTTCAAGGTTCATCTACACATATGTTGTAGCAAAAGGCTGTGCTTCATTTATTTTATGGTTTAATAATATTACACTATATGGCTATACAACATTTTGTTTACCATTCATTAGTTGATGGACGTTTGTGCTGTTTCCACTCATTGTTTATTATCAATAATATTGCTATGAGAATTCATGAATATGTTTTATTCTAACAGTTTTTTCAAGTCTCTTACCTAGGAGTAAAAATGTTATGGCAACTCTCTTTATCTTTCTGAGGAACTGCCGAATTATTTTCCAATTTATATTCCCACCAGCAATGTAAGAGTGTTCTAATTTCTCCACATCCTCACGTACAATAATTGTTGTCAGCCTTTTTGATTCTAGCCATCCTAGGGGGTATGAAGTGATTGGTATCTCATTGTGGTTTTGACTTGCATTTCTGAAATAGCTACTGATGTTGGGCATCTTTTCCTATGCTTATTGACTATTTGTATGTATATTCTTTTGGAGAGACATCTTTTCAAATCCTGTGCCCATTTGATAATTCAATTATTTGCTGTTTTATTATTGAGTTGTAGTTCTTTTTATATTTCAGATACAAGTCCCATAGGAGGTATATGATTTGCAAATGCCAGCTCTTCATTTTTAATAGGTGACCTGTATCAGGTTGAGGAAATTCATATACATTCCTAGTTTGCTGTGTATTCTTAGAGGAATTGGATGTTGAATTTTGTCAAATGTTTTTTCTATACCTACTGAGATAACGTATTTTATTCTTACACAATATTGTGAATTACATTGGTTAATTTTCAGTTGTTAACTCAAATGTGGATTCCTGGGATAAACCCCACTTGATAATAATGGATTTTGTTGTTTTTATGTTATTGGATTCAATTTTATAATATTGTACTTAGACTTTCAGTATCTATGTTCAAGGGGATATTGGCTTTAGTTTTCTTTTAACATTTTGGCCTGGCTTTGATGTCAAGGTAATGCTGACCTAATTGAAAATATTATGAAGTGTTCCCTGTTCTTCACTTTTCTTGATGATTTTGTATAGAATTGTTATTTTTTAAAGAAAATATTTAGTTAAATTCATTACTGAACCCATCTGAGATAGAGGTTTTATTTGTGAGAAGGTTTTTAAGTACAATTTCAATTGTTTTAATAAATACAGAGCTATTCTGATTTTTTATTTCTTCTTGAATGAGGTTTGGTATATTTATCTTTCAAAGAATTTACCCATTTCATATAGTTTGTCAAACTTATTCTTATAAAGTTATCATTCTAGTATGTATAGAATCTCTTGTGATGTTACTTCTCTTATTTCTGATATTGGCCATTTGTGTATTTTCTTTTATCCTTTTCCTGAATAATCTGTCTAGAGGTTTATGGATTAAAAAAAAGAACCCTCAAAATTAAATAAAGTTTGGTTTCATTGATTTTTTTTCCATTATTTTCTGTTTTATTATTTTATTGTTTTCCACTCTCATCTTCACTATTTTCTTCTTTCTGCTTGCCATTGGTTTAATTTGCTCTTTTCCTGGTTTCTAAGATAAGAGCTGAGATCATTGATTTCAAACATTTTTTCTTCTTTTCTAGTATATACTTTAGTGGTTATTTGAATATATAAGAAAAATATTAGGAGGACAACTAATGCTGCAGTGAAAATGGAGATAAAAAGATAGTTTTTGAGAATTCTTTTGATAGATAGAATTTTATCAACAGTATTTGGGGAATGGGTTATTGGAGTAAGGAAGAAAGAGAAGAGCATTATGATTCCCAGGTTTTTGTTAAGAGCAACTGAAAAGTGTAATACAGAGGTATAGAATACAGAAGGACAAGGACCGGTCGAGTGGCTTGTTCGTTAAGAGTTGGCTTGGGAGTGCAAGCTCTACAGCTAATATGGTGAACAACAGCTCGACCTGTACCTGGGTGGCCGTGAATCACCAGCAATGGCATAGGCTGCAGTGTCCTGCCATAAGCTACCATGAGTGGCCGGCAGCCAGCAGCCATCATGAGCTGCCATGAGTGGCCATCCAAGGGCTGGCGACTGATCTGCCTCACCTGGGAAGAGCGCAATGATCACAATACCGACTTGGGCCAGTGAAGCGACATCCTCCACAACTAGACTGAAGAACAAAAGGACAGCAACTTGTCTGTTCCCCTTACACGATTCCCCAACACTGTTTCCTTTCCCAATTCCCCAGTAAAATCTTTAAATAAATAAATAAAGTTTACGTCAACACCTTGGTTACCACCCTAATTTAAGACCACATTCTGGTAATGGAAGGAGAACTGACTCTGGGTGGTGAACACACAATACAAAAAACAAAAAGAAAGAATACATAAGGACAAGTTAGTTTAGTGAGGAAGTAGTTCTATAGTGGATACATTGATTTTGATATGTATGTTGGGCATCCATTTGTATGCATCAAGTTCATATTTTTATCTGGAGCTCAACAGAGATCTGGGCAGGAAATTCACTTTTGAAAATTATTCAGTATGGAGGACATTGTTACTATTCAGGAATAGAGGTCCAGTTTTGCCAAGACTTTCAATGTTTCAAGAAGCACTAGATTTGGGCTGGCTAAGTGGTGCATTTGTTAAGAGCTGGCTTGGGACGCCAGTTCTGAGCAGCAGGGCCCCGGTTTGGATCCCACATGAAGGCCAGTGACACTGCCCTCTACAGCTAAGATGGTGAACAGCAGCTCAACCTGGAGCTGGGCTGGTTTTAGTCGCCGGTGACAGCGTAGGCTGCAGTGCCTGCTGCAGTGGGCTGCCATAAGCTACTGTGTGTGGCTCAGCAGCCAGAATGAGTGGCCAGCAGCTAGTGTGAGCTGCCAAGAGCTGCCTTGGGCAACCGTCCAGAGACTGGCGACCGATCTGCCTCACCCAGGAAGAGAGCAATGATAATACCAACATGGGCCAGTGAAGCAACATCCTCCACAACTAGACTGAAGAACAAAAGGACAGCAACTTGTCTGTTCCTCTTCGCCGATTCCCTAACTCTGTTCCCCTCCCCCAATTCCCCAATAAAATCTTAAAAAAATAAAAGAAGCACTAGATTTGGGAGGGAAAAAGATGATAATGTTTTTATATTTGTAAAACACTGTGCTAGCCAACTAAAACACAGTTATGGACCAGATGGTGACCATAGATGGTCTCTTTGCCACACACTCTGTCCATTACTAGTTTATTTTCTTGAGACGAATGATGCCCCAAATGAAGCAGTTGACTGCATTGTTTCTTCAAAAATAGCTCCCAAATTTATTTGATGTTGTGCACCTCCATGCAAACCTTCAGTTAACCCTTGAAATTTTGATAAGGCTTTGGGAATACCAAGAGGATATAGTGTAAAAAGAGAAGAGAGTGAAGACAGAATGCTTGGAAACATGAGGATGTTAGAAGAGGATCAACAAAGGCTAATGAAACTTAATGCAAAGTTGTCTCTAAACGTTTCTCATAGAGTTGTGAAGATCAGTTGGCACATGTGATATGCTTAGAAGAGGAGGCAGTTGTTATTTATCAAATTCTAGACTACTGGAACTAAGAAGCAGCACATCACTAGAAGCTGGAGGGAAGTACCCTTAAGAAAAGTACTGATGTGCTACATATATCAGAGACCATGGAACCTCAGAACTGGTAGACAGAACCAAAGTGGCCAATTTTGTACAGAACTGAACAGTTTACAAAGTGTTTCCACATGCAGACTGTTCAGTGTGTTTCTCACAGTTTCATCTACAGGATGAAGAAACTGAGTATCAGGGAATTTTAGTACTTCACATTACATGGCCCTTAGATCTCCTGGTTGTAAATGTCGTGCTCTTTCTACTGTAGCACAAGAGCTTAGGAAAACATCTAGCATGATCGTCTCACTTAAAAATATTTGTTAAGGGGTCACCAGAGTGGCGCGTTGATTGAGAATTGGCTTGGGACGTCAGCTCTGAGCAGCAGGGCCTGGTTCGGATCCCACATATGAGGGCCAGTGATGCTGCGCCCTCTACAGCTCAGATGGTGAACAACAGCTCGACCTGAAGGTGGGCTGCCATGAGTCGCCGGCGATGGTGTAGGCTGCAGTGGGGCTGTGGTGGGCTGCCATAAAGCTACCGTGAGCAGCCGGCAGCCGGTGTGAGCGGCCGGCAGCCGATGTGAGTGGCCGACCAATGACCAGCGACCAATTGCCTCACCCGGGAAGAGCACAATGATCACAATACCAACATGGGCCAGTGAAGTGACGTCCTCCACAACTAGACTGAAGAACAAAAGGACAGCAACTTGTCTGTTCCCCTTCCCCAATCCCCAACACTGTTCCCCTACCCCAATTCCCCAATAAAATATATATTTTTTATTTATTTATTTATTTTTTTAATTAGAATTTAATTTACTTAGAATTGTGTGCTTTTTACTTGAAGTTTTACAGAAAGCATTTTAAAAAACTGTTCAGACTTATTTAGGCTTTACTGCATTATTAAAAAGCAAATGTTCAGTTATCATTTATTTTGTTTTTCAGGAAAGACTCTGTTTGCCTCATCATATTTTGGAAGAGAGAGGTCTTGTGAAAGTTGGTGTCACAGTTCAGGCTCTTCTTGAATTACCTACAACCAAGGCATCTCAGCTTTCTACAGCTTGAAATAACATTTAAAAATCATAAGTATATAGTTTCATTTATTGGAATTGATTTCAAATCTCGAATTGATGAATAAGAATGTCTAATCAAAAATAATTTTATTAGATCAAGCTTTAGTTTTTAAAAAGTTATGTGAAAAATTATGTTAAATTAAACTTTTAATAGCCCAAACTTCATGTGGGAGAAAACTGGATTAACTTAATAAGAGTTTTGGATAAATTCAAATTCTCATTTTACTTAGTTTATAATCTTGATTATTTTTGAAAAATCAAAATGATACTAAATTTAAAATGTGCTTTCAATTTAATAATCTCATTAGGTTTAATTTTTTAATACTATAGCATACTAGTAAACTTCTAGATAAGGTAATCTTTTTTACCAGTTTAGAGCAATTGTGTATTTGAGTTATTTAATACACTTCTAATTCTAGTTTATACACAATTTCTTTATTCTTTGGTCTCAGTTTTCTAGAAAGAAAAATGAGTAGAAAATATAGAGAACTCTGGCTTTATATTAAATTCTTTTAGTATTAGGTTGGTGCCAAAATATTTTCAGTTGTACTGTAGATTGTTTACATGTGAAGTGCCTGTGTAATTGATGACTCTTATGTAGTCTTAAGAATTTTTGCAATTTCTTTATATGTATTAATGGAATCAATGAAACTTTAAAATATTTTAGTAGATTTGTAAGGTCAGTAATATGTGAGGATTTAAGTATGCCTCATTTTGTGATATTTGTGGTTTTTTTATTTAGCCCATTGCAGTTTTTCTTAAATTGGTTATTTCATGTTGTCAAAAAACAATATTAATATGCTTAATTTATGCTATTTAATTTTGCAAATCTTAATCATCTTTTAAAATGTATTATTTGAAGAGTATTTTATTTCTGTATTGAAAATGTTAAACAAAGCAGTAAGGTTTTTGAGAACTAGCAAAGTACTAATTATCAAAGACATTTTAATAAAACTGCCAAAGTTTGGGTTTATCTCTTGACTTTTAAGAGCATTATATCAGTGTGCTGCCTTTAGTTATATTCAGATTCAGAGAGCAACAATTGAGATATAGGTTTTTTTGTTTGTTTTTTGTTTTTTTTCTCCCTGAAATTTGGCCACTTGTGAGTCCTGTAAATCTTATAATCCTTAACTAACGTGATGTTGAATTAAACACAGACCATTCTATAAATATTTTCATAAGTATATTATGCTACATAAAGTTCTTGTTTAATTTGGAGATGGATAAATTTACATTGATAATAGTGCAGGAATTTTTCAAAAACATTACTGTAATGAATAACTTGGTTTCCTGTAGAAGAGTATAATTACTTTTGTAGTAGCCAAGCAAGTGTCATATCTTAAATATGTGATTATTTGCACTTGTTACCCCTCAATATGGATGCAACATCTTAAAAATGTTGGCCTGGATGTTTCAAAGGGGATACATAAAAGGGAAAAACTAGTGTGCCAAATGGTTTAGTAAGGACAGATTTAGGAACAACTACTTTTTTTGATCATTTGGCACAAAGCCATGTAATTAAATTTTGGCTTTAGAAAACAGATGTGATTTTTACATTTCCCCAGGGTCAAATTGGAACTTTTGAAGAATTAAAGCTTTTATGACTCTACAGTTTAAAAATTAAATTATTGGTAATTTATTACTTTAAATATTTGTGCTAATGAGTTACTATTTTTAAAAAAACGTCATTGACATAATCTCCCTAGTGAAAACTTGGGTAATAAACGTAAGAAATGGCAAATAAATACTTTAGCTATTAATTTTTGTTGTAGAAATTTGATCATGTTACAAATAAAGTCATCATTAAAAGCTACAGCAATCATTCATACTGCTTTCCTAGTTATCACACTATAGGATTCTTCTTATTAATCAGTCTAGATGTTGATTATTTTATAAGTATTTTTCTGTTTCATATCATTGAAATATTAGTGAAATTATAGGCCAGTTTCTTATTGCATTTCACTTGCTTGTTAATTAGTTATTACGTTAAACAGAAAATAACACCATAACCTCACTGTAACATTTTTTACTACAAAACAAAATTTCATTTAGGATGGGTCCGTTTGAGGTCTATACCATGGCAGTTTATTTACTATAGTGCCAAAAGGCAACACCACCTTTAAGGCAGTTTCACAGCATAGTCCCCAAGAGCACATTATATCAATAAGGCTCTAATGTATTTCTTTTAGTAGTTTTAAATAACTGTAAAATTTATTCTACCTGGTTTTTATGGTTAAAATATATTCACTTCATTAGTTATTGAATTAAGAATGATTATCATTATTTGATTGGATATGTGATTTGAAGAGGGTTAAATAATCAAACTAAAATATTTTATTAGGACCTAAAAATGCAGTAGATAGCTACTTCTACACTTTATTACTGTATGGCACAAGAAAGAAGTGATGCTGGATACGTTAGAATTGAAATAAGGAATAAAAAATGCATTGCCATTTGTTTAATAATTATCTTTACAGAATACTAGTTTATTGACTTTTCTAGATGAATTTTTTGAAGAATTCAGAAATGTTTGTATTGGTCACAGATCTATCATGATTGATTTTCTGATGCATTTGAACATAAATGGAACCCTAAATGTATATTACTGATGCAAACTGTGGATAAAGTTGAAGAAAATAAAGTCTGAGATTTCTTTTCTCTTCTACCTCTTCTCTCAACATCATAGCATCCATTTTTGGTAGATATTTGATAGCTTGTGTTTATGTTCTTTAGCATGGAAAAATAGACTTTGAGAGGATATTCAAAGTAAGTTGTTTAAATTTTCAGATTCTTTTACATCATGTTATTTTCAGTATGTAATGCTTTCTTTAAAAACAATAATTTGGGTGGCTGGGTGGCTCAGTTGGTTAGAGTGCGTGCTCTGAAGAACAAGGTTACCGGTTTGATTCCCACATAGGCCAGTGAGCTGCACCCACCACAACTAGATTGAAGACAACGACTTGAGCTGAGCTGCCGGTGGGTGGCCGGATGGATCAGTGTGTTAAAGTGCGTACTCTTAACAACAAGGTTGTCAGTTCAATTCCTGCATGGGGTGGTGGGCTATGCCCCCCCCAAAACTAGATTGAGAACAGCGGCTTGACTTGGAGCTGATGGGTCCTGGACAAAACACACTGTTTTCCAATAAAGTTTTTAAAATAATAATCCCCTAGGATATCTTCACAAATAATGTCACCTTTATTTAAGACAGACTCTTTATATACGTAAATGTCAGATAAACCTTCACATAAAATCAAATTGTGGTTATTTTCATTGTAGATTTTAGTGTGATGTATATGATTGAATTACCCTTAAGCTATTTGATAAAAATTTAATCTCTCATTTTCAAGTTATTCTAAATTTTTTTAAATCCACATATTTTATTAAAATGACTTATTTATTCATAATTCTTATAAAAGTAGAAAGTCATTCAGGTAAATATTAAAAATAATAGTGCCCCTGTTTTATAGTTACTTACCCTAAAGTCTCAGATTTAAAGAAGTACTTATATAAGTAAATATTTGGCATACGTTGTTTGAAAACTATTCTGTGTTTATCACAGAATTTTGAATTATCTTTAGATAATGGTACTAATCTTGTTATTTTCTTTATTAAATTTTGATGTTTCACATGGAATGGTTCTAAGGTTCTCAGGAACCTGTCCCAGTGTCCAGACCACTCCCTGGGACTGGATTCCCTTTGATACACTACTGTATATTAATTTGGAAATGTCCGAATATTTTTTGTTTCTTAAGGTGTGATATCTTCTTTTCCTGCATTTAAAACATGAGAAAAAAATCCCCATGGTTGTGGTGTTTAAATAGCTTAGATTGTCTACAGGTGTGTGTGTGTGTGTGTGTGTGTGTGTGTGTTTAATGCAAGGCTCTAGTTGTTTTAGCAAAAGACAATCTTACTGCATTGGACAACCAGAGTTTGGAAGTTATAAGAATTCTGGTATCAGTAGTTTAGTATGGAAAGTTGATGATTGAATTATTTGAGTATTACCAAAATTTGTCAAAAGAGGAGATTCTTTTTATTTTTTATTTTTTTAGCTGAGGCATCCTGCCACCTGTTGGCCGCTGAGCTCAGGCTGGGAATCGAACCGGCGACCCTGTTGCTCAGAGCTCACACTCTTGAGCGAGCTTTTAACCAACTGAGCCACTCAGCCGGCCCAAGAGGAGAGTCTTTAAAATGTGATCTTTTAAAGATTTTAAAGAAATTATTGCATCTTATTTCCTGGTTCTCAAATTTATAATTTCAATTATCCTACCACTTAAGATTATGAAAAAAAAATTCACTTTTTGTACTCCATTAATATGCATCGAGAATCTACCTCAAGGGGTGAGAAATGTATTAGGTATATACATACATAAATAAATAAATAGCAATAGATTTTTCATATAGCAAATTGAATTTTCTAAAACTCTTCAACTATCTCAGTCACTTCTAATGGAACGAAGTACAAAGTAATGCTGTATAACATACCAAGTCATCATTAAAACTATACCTTAGGGCAGTGATTCTTTAATATGTATATATATATCACCTTATTAACCAAATGCCAATTGATTGAATTGTTCAAGGATGGAGTTTGATATTTGCATTTCTAACAGGGTTCCAAGTGATGCTGATCCTGCTGGTCCAATGACCAACTTGAGTAATAAGACTTTGTGGTCATTCAAGCTTCATGTTAATACCAGTTTTCTGTACAATAGTAGTTTGATATTTTAAGTGACGCCTCAAAGTCTTCGCAATAGGTAATTAACATTTTTAAATAGGTCTCTATTTTACTTTATAATAAAGTTTACTTAGTATATTTCCTTCTAGGAGTTTTATGGTTTTGCATTTTACCTTTATAATTTCTTAATAAAGAAATGTGTTTTACTTTATTAAGGACTTTTCAGTTTTTTTCTTTTTTTCTTTCATGTGGGAGTCAATCCAGCACCCTTGCTATTAAGAGCACACGCTCTATCCACTAAGCCATCCAGGTGGCAGCTCAGCTCAAGGTGTTGAGTTCAGTCCCAGCCACGGGTGGGCATAGTTCACAATCGAATAGGCAATCTTGTATTGGGAGCACGTGCTCTCTCACCAGCTGAGCCATTGTGCCACCTGTTGGTAGCTCAGCAGCAGCTCAGGCAAAGCTCACTGGCCCATGTGGAAATTGAACGAGCAACCCTGTTGCTCAGAGCTTGTGCTCTTAAGCAAACTCTTAACCAACTGAGCCACTCAGCTGGCCCCTGGGGGTTTTTTTATGGTTCAAAAGATGTGCTTTATGCCCTGATTAATACTGTTTCATAATTTTCTTTTCTTTTTTTTTTAAAGATTTTATTGGGGAATTGGGGGAGGGAACAGTGTTGGGGAATCAAGGAAGGGGAACAGACAAGTTGCTGTCCTTTTGTTCTTCAGTCTAGTTGTGGAGGACGTCGCTTCACTGGCCCATGATGGTATTGTGATCATTGCACTCTTCCCAGC